TATGTAATGGCTGAGTTATTCGATTTTTTTAATTAGTTGTTTATGTTATGGCTGAGTTATCAAATACATTACGGCTGAGTTGTTTATGTTATGGCTGAGTTATCAAATACATTACGGCTGGCTGAGTTATATATCTGTTTTGGCTGAGTGGTTTTATGTTATGGCTGAGTTATATCTCTGTTATGTAAGAGTTGTTTTGTGTTATGGCTGAGTTATACCTCTATTATGGTAGAGTTGTTTAGTGTTATGGCTGAGTTGTTTTATGTTATGGCTGAGTTATTTTGTGTTATGGCTGAGTTGTTTTGTGTTATAAAGTTACAGGAGAAAAAAATTCATGAAGAAGAAGAAGAAAAAGCAGTTCTGGACAGTAACATTAATCAGTGCATCAAGAATCTAAATAAGGATTTCGATGAGGCCACTAATAAGAAAGATGGTCTTCTTGATTTCATTGAGAAATCTCCCTCTCCTGCTAATAAGAAAACGCGGCCTGTGACGCGGAATTTAGAAGCACAGCAGAGGAAAGAGGCCGAGGCTCAAAAGAAGAAAGAGGAGGCAATGAAAAAGAAAGAAGATGCACTGAAGAGAAGAGAAGCATATGCCCAGAAGAAAAAAGAAGTAGAGGAAAAGAAGAGGGCAGATGCTGAAGCAAGAAGGAAAGCGAATGAGGAAAAAGACCAGCCAAAGAAGAGAGGTAGAAAGCCTAGAGCTGTTCAGCAGCTGAAACCAAGTGTCCCTTCTGATCTGGTGGAAGAACTTGCTGAAGATGTTGTAAAGATTACTCTTGTCAAATTCAAACTCTCAAAGGTTGAGGTTGAGGACAAGAAAGGGGACAGAAAAGGGGACAACAAGGGGGTTAAGAAAGGGGACAACAAAGTTTCTGACAGTGAAATAGAGGATATCACTGAGTTATATTTAACTTACCTGACGGTGTTTTTACAGCATGTGGCTGTGTATATAAGACTCCTTAGGAAACGGTTCCTTGTTTACCCCTGCCCATTACACACCAAACGTATTGCGTTTATATACCCGTGGTTTACTGCTTTACTCTTACATGAGTATAATACAACATTCAAGGAAAGACCACAAAGTTTTAAATTCGATGGTGGACCTTATGAGCTGGTTATGAACGGGAAAATGCCGCAAGATCAGCCCACTGGTTTGAAGTGGATAGAAGATGTGGACAAACTGTATCTTGTTTTACAAAGCGGAGGTGATCACTGGATTACGCTAGAAGCTGACCTGAGAAGGAGCCATATCGATGTATATGACAGTATTGTGGGACAGGTAACACCTGAAAGTGAAGCAAGAATCATGAACTCTGTTAAGCCGTTTGCGCAGATGCTTCCGGCAATGCTCAACGCTTTAGTCCCTGCTGAAATCCGTCCACATAGTAATGCGATGTTTTCCTTCAGAAGGAAGAGTATATCCAAGGTCCCTCAAAACCGTAATCCCGGGGACTGTGGTGTGTACTCTCTCAAATATGTGGAATGCTTAGCACTTGGTGTTAGTTTCGATGGCCTCTGTGATGAAAATATCCAAGGTATACGGCTGAAGATGGCAGCAGATATTTTCGATGAGGCAGCGGATTATCACAGTCAGTTTCAGTAATAATTTGTTGTACTAGACTTATTATGATAATATGTAAATTATTGGAATCATGGATCATTTGTAGTTTTGTACATAAGTCTGTTATGGCTAAGTTATAGTCTCGTTATGGCTATGTTATGGTTATGTTATGGCTGAGTTCCGAAAGACAAATTAAACTCAACAATAAACAATCATTTTAAATTGAACAATAAATTTAACATTATGGTATTAGAATATCTTAAAAAGTATCTTTAATGTAAAAAATAAAATTCACCCGAATATAAAAGATAGAATTGTATTAAACTATAGTATTACAAGATAGAATATACAATCATTATTAGGATTTATCTCTTTGTTAGATACATAAGTCTTAAAAGGTATAAAAAATAGCTAATTTGATTATATTCATTTTCACAGTGAATAGAAACCTTAAATTCTTCTTATCTAAGTGTTCTAAGAACATGAATGTATAAATAATCTTATATTTAAAATTCGAGGTTTGGCTGAGTTATCACTATGTTATGGCTGAGTTATAATCATGTTATGGCTGATTTATACGTTAGATATGGCTGATTTATGATTTTGATATTCAAATTCGGGGTATGGCTGAGTTATAGTAACGTTCCGTCTGAGGTATAACATAACGTTACGACTGAGTTATATAATGAGGTTTGGTTGACTTATCGTAAATTAAATTCGTGGTTTGGCCGAGTTAATTCCAGACGACGTCGTTTACTTCTTTCTTCTCCCTTATAGTCATAATCGAGCGATCAGATTGGGGATTTAGGGTTCTTATCGATTTCTGGGATTCACATCCGATTTCTTGCTTTATCTTCGATTAAAGAATTCTACTTCGCAATTTTAATATGAGCGACTACTCTTCGAGTACATATCGTTCAGCACATGGTGCTTACCCTCCAGATCTTCCGACGAATTGCGGATGTTGGTGTGGTAACGATATCATCACATACATATCGAAGACAAAGGAAAACCCTTACCGTATCTTATATAGATGCTCGATTGCTTTGAAGGTACAAATTTTCATTTAATTTTTTATTGTTAAC